GTGCCCTGCCTTCCAGAGAGAACCAGTCAAAACAATAAAGAGAGAGAGAGAGCAGCTGCACATGTGTGTAGTTGTGATGTTTATAACACATGTACATTGTCACTGAACAACCCAGTCTGACAATTTAATAGTTTATTTTGTTGAGATAAATGATATTATTTAGAGAAGTTAAACTTCAATATAGTTTTCAGGGAAGAATCAAAAAATAAATGTAAATAATTCCATTTCTAAAAATACATTTAGATGCTTGTTTTTGAAATACGGTTGAAATGTAAATTAAAATGCTTTTGTATTTACACCTTGTTACAATACTATTTTCTTAAATAGAATAATCTTTTTTCCTTCATATTTTATATTAAGATTTCACCGGGGTAGAAAATACTGACAGGAGTGAATGACCCCCATCCATCACCATCTGCTACCCCTGTTGCAGGGGATGGGGAAAGGTGAGGGCTGGGGGTTGCCAGGTGTCTGGTTTTCAACTAGAACCTCCAGCTGAAAAGGGAAACTGGTAGCATCCGGTCATCACAAAAAGTCCAGTTCCTGCAGTAACTGGCCCCCACCACTGGGGGCGGGAAGATCAGTGGCACTAGGAAGGGACAGTCTGTGCTGTGGGGTCACTGTCAGGGACAGAGATTCCCTCCAGCCTCAGCTGGGACCGGGCATATTATCAGGGGAGCCGCGTTTTTACCCGAGCGATAGGGATGGAAATAAGGGCGGAGTGTCCCGGAGAAGGTGTCAGTGAAAGTGAAGAGATGGGACCTGTCAGTCACATTGTAAAACGAGACCTCGCCTGCCTCACAGTCCAGGAAAATCCCCACCTGCTTTGGCCTGATGCTCACGGAAAGGAGGGTACAGGGGGAGGTGCTGGCCTTATATTTCCCATCCCTCAGCCACATGACCCAGTATCCATTCCCAGGTGTGTATGTGACCTTCCCCTTCCTGCGCACAGATTCTCTACAAACCCCCAGGTCCCAGCCTGTCTTGAGTCCCACCTCCACCTCCCAGTAACGCCTCCCGCCCGTGAACCCCTCAGCGCCCAGGACACAGTAACAATGATCAAATCTCTCAGGGTTGTTGGGCAGATCCTGGCATTTGTTTCCGCGTCTCACACGTTTCCGATCCTCAGACAGGATAAGCCAGGGATTTGCCGTGTCTGGATCCAGAGTCACGTCCACTGGGGAGAGAGTCACAGAGTCAATGTTGGGGAAAGGGCTGGTCACTGGGATCAAAGGGAAATTAACCTGCATCCCTGTTAATCGCTGTGGGGGGGAGGGGTTGTTTCCTGTGGGGAGTCAGGGCCCATCTGCCTGTGGGGAGACAATGAGGGGGAAAGGGCAGGAGGAGCGGGGGAGGGGTGGGAAGGTCTCAGTGGGGGAAGGGAGGGGTGGGGACAAGAAGAAACGTGTAAGAGGAGTAGAGGGGGGAGGAACAGAGGGGAGAGGCAGGCACAAGGTCATTGGGGGGCAAGAGGAGTAGGCACCAGGAGGACAGAGGGGTGTGAAGGGAAGGGCAGGTTCCCAAGGGCTGCAGGGGGTGAGGGGAGACGTGGGATCCATGGCAGAAGAAGGGGATGGGACCCTACCAAGAAAGGGGCTTCGGGGAGGGGGGGTGACAGGAGGCTCTCTGGGGCGGGTGATCCCCTAGAATGAGGCAATGATGAGCTGGTCTCAGGATTCCAACGCGCTCAGGGGCCAGGGGTGTAAAATAGCCCATAGCACAGCCATGCCCAATGGCCATAGCGTGTGCTGCCCTGGGGGAAATGAGCGGGGAGGGGAGCAGGGCTGGCAGGGGTCTGAACTAACCCAGAACTAGCCACCTAACTCCTCCTCCTCGTCACTCTGGCCCATCACATAACAAACAATGGCTAACATGTTAGATTGTTTTGCAAAAAATGAGGTAAGTATATGAATGTGCAGATGGACATTGTGTAGTATCTCTATCTACCTTCCTGGGTTGGGATGTTTGTAACTTTGCTAAATGTATTAATAAACAATTTGTAAATAGAAAAGAGTTCCTACAGTGTGAATGTTGCAGCTGTGCACATCGGGGTTCCCAACGATATAATAATTTAAATAATGCTGGACCTGATTTTGGGACAAAAACCTGTTAACCCTCAAAGCGAGAACTAAAAATTCTTAAGTAATCAACATAGAATCTATAGATCGGACTACACGCCCCTGTGATGTTGCACTCAATATGCTTTATGAAAGTATGCTTATGAATATGACGTAACTGAAATATACTTTACACTAAATACCCCTTGTATGGTGTCATTAGAAAGCTTGTAATCTACTAAGTGTGTTCATGCTCTCTGTTTGCATGTATTATTTCTATATCTGGAGTTAGGAGAATAAGACATAAACTTGTATCACTGATGTAAACATATTAAGTGGAAGCCATTAAGGATGCTCCAGAAACAATCAGTTGTAAATGGCCTTAGATACTTGAAAGCCTTCCCGTGTACCTGTGGGCCAGCCCATGGGGAATGGAGAGTAGGGGTTTTACAGTGACATGTGACCATGTCACCTGATAAGGAAATCCATCTTAAATCTGGTACTTTTCCATTTAGAAGGAGGGGTGAGGACACAGAGAGACAAAAGATTCCCACCTTGTGACAAAGCTATAATAGGGGGTGGAGCAGGACAAAGAAGGCTGCCAGTCATGAGAAAACCCCTTCTTATCACCTGAGATGTCTGCTGGATCCAACAAAGACTGTACCAGGGGAAAGGATTGGGCCCAGACTAGGAAGTAGTATAGTCTGTGAAAGAAGCTTATTGGAACATCTTTGAGGGCAAGATATTATCTGTAATCAGTTTCTTAATGTATTAGGCTTAGGCTTACATGTTTTGCTTTGTGACTTACTTTGTTCTGTCTGTTATTACTTGAAACCACTTAAATCCTCCTTTTTATACTTAATAAAATCACTTTTTTAATTAATAAACCAGAGTAAGTGATTAATAGCTGGGGAAGCAAACAGCTGTGCATCTCTCTCTCTCAGTGATATAGAGGACAAACAATTTATGAATTTACCCGGTATAAGCTTTATACAGAGTAAAACAGATTTATTGGGGGTTTGGATCCCATTAGGACCTGGGTGGCTGGGTGCTGGAGACAGGTGCTGAGCTTTTCTTACTTAAAGTCTGCTGCTTTGGGGGCATGGCCCAGACCCTGGGTCTGGGTTGCAGCAGGCTAGCTTGTCTGGCTCAACAAGGCAGGGTTCTGGAGTCCCAAGCTGTCAGGGAAAACGAGCTCAGAGGTAATTTCAGCACTCAGATGACAGTCCCAAAGGGACCGAACTTGTCACAGCCCCCTCACACCCATTGCCATCCCCTTCATTGGCTCCAATCCTTGTCCCCACCCCCAGGATCTGCCCGCCCACTCCTCACCTGTCACCTCCTGCTGCTCCCCAACTACCAACTCCACTCACCTTCTTTCTCCCTTTGTTCCAGGAGTAGTGGGAACTGGTGGGAGAAGGGAACAAACTCCCTGCTGCTGAGCATCATCCAACCACCGCCTCCTCCTTCCTTCCTCAGACCCCCCTGCTCTCACCTGGCTTCCCAGCACCAACTGCCCCCCCCCTCCTGTGCTGGTTTAATTAACACTGACTCATCCAGGCACTGGGCACTAGCACAGTGCATATGTGCAAGGTCCATGTCCTATGGTAGCACATTAGACCCATGCTCTGTGAAAGTCCCGTGGCGTTACAGGGCTTCGCTCCCCAACCCCTCCCCTGTCACTGCCTCTCCATCCAGTCCAGTTCAGTGTCCTGTCTGTTATCGGAGTAGTGAATGGATGCTCTTGTTGTTAAAGTGCTGACCTAGGAACCAGCAGACCTAGGCACAGGTTTGCCACAGCAGAGGGCAGTCAGGGCTTGTGGTCCCTGGGAGGGGACATGAGGGGATGCTTCTCCTCTTTCCCTTGGGAGAAACTTTAAGGGCTTGTCTACATGGGGAAAAGCCCTGAGTAGCTAGTGCAGAACAGCTAGCCAGCACTGGCTGCCTGTGCAGACACTCTTATTCCATGCCAAGAGATCTCTTGTCTGGTTTGTATAATCCACACTGGAAGAATATGAGTGCAGAATATTCCACACTAGTTGTGCTGGGCTCTTCCCCGTGAATTCTCCACGCTGAGAAGCCTTAAGTGTGGGGAGAGGAGGTTTAAATTCCTTGTTCCTCACCCCATTGACCCTTCTAGAGCCACCAGCTGCCCCTCTGCCCTCCATCCACTCTGCTATTGCATCCAGCAGTGTCAGGGTTGTATAAGCTCATCAATTGGATGTTTCTGCCAAAAATGGTCAGCAGTGAAATAAACAATTAATTGACTGGAGGCTATATCATAGCAACAGAGAGCAGTGAAACAATTGTCTGTTTGCACCAGCTCCCCCCCGACAGCAGGTAACCTAGCGGGGGTGCGAATAACCAAACCCTCAGACTTTCACACAGACAATGACATTTTGCCCGACCCCTTAGTTATTGTGAAAGCTGTAAGAGGACTGAGCAGGGACCGAATATCCCAGGGGAATGGGACTGAGAGTGACTGAAGCAGTATTAGCGTTAGTTACCTGCATAGCTTCGGGCTCTGGTGAGTCCTGAAATAATCAGACATGAGAATTTACAGAAACGAAATACAGACTTGACAAGTCCCATACTGCGAAAACCAAACTCCACAAACCAGAAACGGAGCTTACCCAGTTCTGCCAGAGGGTCCATAGGAATGAGAGGGGAGAAAAGAGAAAAAAGAACATAAATGAATCAATAGGAGAGATTCTCAATTACAGAAGTGCCCCGTTCTAAACCCAAATTATATTGACTTCAGTGGGAATTTTGCCTGAGTAAGGACACCAGGATTAGGCTCCTAATCAGTAGTTAGGGCTTCTGCTTTATCACATCTGATCCTGCAAACCCTCCCCACAGAAATCAATGGGACTGCACCTGTGAGGATCACTCATGTGAATCAGGGGGGCAGAATGGGGCCCATAGTGATAAAGGGTCCGATTCTCTCTCCTGCTCAGGTCACTGTGTGCAGGGATGGTGCAGACTGGCAGGAACCAGGCCCCCGGACATCAGAGAATTCCCCTGGCGTAGGGAGAGCTCAGCTGGGGTAAAACAGCGTACCTGGCTCCTGTGCCAACTACCCCCCCACCCTACCCCCCGGGGTGTAGGAGGCTTGTCAGGGTGGGAGGGGTTAGGAGGAGGTGTGCTGGGGCAGAGCAGAGCACAATCACCAATCTCAGGGACCACAGCCAGCTGGAGCAAATTAGAGCAGCCCCTGGGGCAGCCTGAGAATCAGGGAGCCATAACCTGCTCCCTCACTGCCCCCACCCTGCACCCCAAGCAGATCCTAGCACAGCAGAAAATCTGGGTCTCCAGCTCAAAGAACTCTTCCATTATAAGTGTTTACATAATGTGGATGATGCAGGTGTGACCACAAGAGTTGCTAAGCACTTGCAACTGCTGCTGGCTTCAGTGGGATCAGACCCATGTGCCTGATCCTACAGCTGTTGTGTGTGGAAGGCAACAGGGCTCAGGGGCCCAATCCTGCTCCAAGCAAACCAGTGGTGTGGGAGCATGTCCGTGGAGAACTCACATGGCTGGGCTCTATTGGTATAAATAATTATTGTTCTTGTTACTGGGTGTCTGTGGTGTCATGGAGTGAAGTTTGTTTGTTTGTGTTTAAGAGTATTTCCAAGGGTTGATGTTGTGAAAAATAAAACTGTTAATATTCATATTTCAATACCACAAATTTTCCATCCATTATTTCTGGATAATGTCTGGATTTCCCCTTGTTGTGTACATTACCTGTAACAGTAACACATTAATTTTTTACACTAACATTTCTTTGCACACATAGTTCTGAGTGTTCCTTTTCCAATTTAAAGCATAATCAAAACTAGTAAAAACACACATACCTTTCACTGCCTCATATTCCTCTGGAAAGTAAAAGACATCGTGAGTTAACGTTGAGTCTCAAAACTTAATGCACAATAGTCAAGCTAACAGCAAAGTCTTCCTCACCGGTGATACGAATGTTTTGCAAGATTTGTCCAGAAGCCGCTATGCAGAGCACAGCACAGGAGCTGGCTTCTTATGGAGGCAGGGACCCAACTTTAGGGTTGCCAACTTTCTAATTGCACATAACCCAACACCCCTTTCCTGAGGCCCCGCCCCTTCCCCGAGGCCCTGCCCCCCACTTGCTGTTTCCCCCCTCTCTCCATTGCTCATTGTCCCCCACCCTCACTCACTTTCACCGGGCTGGGGCAGGGGCTTGGGGTGCAGAAGGAGGATTAGGGCTCTGGCTGTGACCAGGGATGAGGGCTTTGGGGTGCAGGAGGGGCTCCTGGCTTCAGCAGCAGTTTGGGGTGCAGGAGGGGTGGGCTCTGGCTGCGGGTGTGGGCTCTGGGGTGGGGCTGGGAATGAGGGGCTTGGGGTACAGGAGGGAGCTCAGGGCTGGGGCAGGGGGTTGGAGTGTGGAGGTGCAGGCTCCGGGAGGGAGTTTGGGTGCATGAGGGGACTCCAGGCTGGGGCAGGGGGTTGGGGTGTAGGGTCCTGGCGGTGTTTACCACAGCTCTTGGAAGCGGTCGCCAGGTCCCTGAGGCACTTAGGTGCAAGGGTGGCCAGGGAGGCTTTGTGCACTGCCCTTGGGGTGCAGGCGCTGCCCCTGCAGCTCCCAATGGTCACAATTCCCATCCAATGGGAGCTGCAGAGCCAGCACTCGAGGCATGGACAGCACACAGAGCTTTTCTGGCTGCCCATGTGTCTATGGGCCTCAGGGACCTGGTGGCTGCTTCTGGGAGCCTGCCTTAGCCTGGGGTTCCCACTGTGCCACTGACCAGACTTTTAATGGCCCGGTCGGTGGTGCTGACCAGAGCTGCCAGGGTCCCTTTTCAACCAGGTGTTCTGGTGTCCTGCCCCAGCTGTTACATATACTTTGTATACACCTCAGATACTGCACAGATCAACATGGACCAAAGAGCAGGGTTTCTTGGCTCCACATCACTACTCTCTGTCCCTTCCACACTGATCCCTGCAACCCCCCACCCACCTACCTGTGGTGTTTAGATGCTGCATGTGATTATTAGAACTGGGAGCACTGGCTGTTGGGAGTCTGAAAGGACAGGAAACAGGAAGGAGGGGGAGGAGTTGAGGAAGCTGGGTGAGTTACAGAGTGTGCAGCTACAGCTTGGTAAAGAGATTTCCATTGTAAATAAAGTTCTGTTGAAGTTTGTTAATACCTTGCCTGGTGGATACAACACTACCCCTCATCATCCCCCATCCTCTGCACAGACACACATACCTTTAAGCCCTATACCCTGCCATAAATCCATATCCCAGGGCCAGTCTCCTTTCCCACTGCACATTGTTATTTGCATTCCAGTAGCATCTAGAGGTCACACTCAGGGCCAGGACCCATTGCGCTAGGTTCTGTACACACACACTCAGGACCAGGCCCCATGGCGTTAGGTCCTGTACGCACACACACAGGGCTGAGCCCCACTGCACTAGGTCCTGTACACACATACTCAGGTCCAGGCCCCACAACGCTAGGTCCTGTACACACACACACTCCAGACTGGAAGGTGACACAATCCCTACTCCAAAGAGTTTACAATCTAGGGTCCTGACCCTGAAAATATTTATGCCCAGCTATAACTTTACTCAGAAACCTGCCCCTCTTCCCCGCCCACCCCTCCAGGTACTGCCTCATCTTCCTCCTCCCCTTTATTGCTGAACTCAGTGAACCCAGTCTGCAAACAATGCTTATGCCTCCAACTGTCTTAGATCCCTTCCAGTCTGATGTCCCTCCTTCCCACTCCAGTCAGACGGCTCTCACTGGGGTCCCTAATGATCTTCCTGGCCAAATCGCAGCACCCACAATCTCGGGGGGAGGGGGGGGAAGGTTATTCCTCCCTCTGCACACCCAGGCCATTTCCAAACACCGCTGCTCCTTCCTGAGTGTTATCTCCAGTATCGTCCTTTTCTCTCCATCCCTGCAGCACAGGCCCTCACTATATCCCACCACTATTAACATCCTCTTCTATGGCTCCCAGACACACCCACTGTCCCCCTTCTGTCCGCACAAACTGCATCTAACAAAGAGACAGTCCCTGCCCCAGAGAGCTCACCCTCTGCATGGCCGATTGGGTACAACAGGGGGATGAAATACATAAGTGGGGTGAATGGGTTGGGAGGGGAAGGTAACGATAAAAACAAACCAAAGCCCAGCTCACCACGTGCCCAGCCAGTGCCAGACAGGAGAGATTCCAGGGGCTAACTGGTGAGGGACCTAAAGGCAAAGATAAGGAGCTTCTGAGGGAGTGGAGCTGAAGAGGTCTCAGTGGAGGGACACCAAATGGTGGATGTGGTAGCAGAGACAAGCCCCTGAAGGCTGATCCTAGCAGCCGTGTTTTGGATGGAGATGAGGGGACAAAGCAGCTGGTGTCAAGGCTGGACAGGAGGAGATCACAGCAGTGGAGGTGTGAGATGGTGGGGCCTGAACGAGAGCCTGGGCTGTCAGGACAGACAGGAGATGCTGAATCTGTGACGTGTTATGTACACAGGAGCAGGGAGACTGGGATGAGGTCAGGACATGGGGGCCCAGAGAGAGGCTGAGTCAGAGACGATGCCCAGATTTCTGGCCTGAGTAACTGGGAGAATGAATGCGCTGTTAGGGTGGCCAACATTGTATTTCAAAACTACAGGATAGTTTTTCTGCTCTCCCCAACCCCTGACCTGGGCTTACATCATGGAGCGGTTTTCCCAGCCAGAGCAGGGGAAATACCCCCTGGACCCCTCCTGAAAGAAGCCACCTCGAGCAGGTTCCAGACCCCAGGCCTCCCACTCTGCTCTGGGCTCCCTCCAGCCAGCCCAGGCCTCACACCCCAGATAAAGGTGTGTGTGTCTGTGCAGAGGATGGGGGATGAAGAAGGGTAGGTGGGTCAGGGGGTGTAGGGATCAGTGTGGGAGAGACAGAGAGTTGTGATGTGGAGCCAGAGCTCTGCCCTGTAGTAACATCATGAGGGGGGAATTGAAAAACATTGTGCGCCTTTAAAAATCAGTTTTATTTAATGAAGAACCTCACAGACTGCTCTGCATTAATCAGACCTGGGTGGTTATTGTATGGCATCGCTGCAGGGTGGAGCTGAGGGTGAAATCCTGCCCCCTCCCACATTACCAGGGTATGGAAGGGCCAGAACACAGGGGAATCTCATCTGAGGATCCTGTTAAATACTGGACAAGTCTCTCTGGGTTCATCTACACTGCAAAAAACCCCTCAGGAGTGGGTCTCACAGCCTGAGTCAACTGTCTCAGGTTTGTGAGGCTCACACTATGGGGCTGAAAAATAGCAGGATAGACATTCCCACTCAGGCTGGCACCTGGGCTCTGAAACCCGGCAAGGGGGAAGGGTCTCAGAGCCTGGGCTCCGGCCTGAGCAGGAATGTCTACATTGCTAATATTTAGCCCTGCAGCGCCAGTCCCAGTCAGTTGACCCAGGCTCTGAGATTTGCAGCCACGGGTGTTTTTTGCACAGTAGATATACCCACAGTCTCCAGCAATGAGGCTGACCAAGCTGGGCTGGTGTATTCATGACCATGGGCTTAAGGTGCCATTTCTGTAATTCCCATGGAGTTTATTAGAACAAATGGTCCCTTCCCCTTCAGAGCCTGTGTCAGCACCAGCAGCCCCTGAGCTCACTGCTTGGGCTCTGGTGCCGATATGGAGATGTTCTCCATCACTCATTCAAACAGGCTGTAACTCCACCTGCTAAAATTGAGCTAAAAGCGTTAAACTGAGACTCCACAGCATTAAAAATGGCTTTCACTTGAGTTAAGTTGTCTCAAGAGAGCTAACTCGACTGACAAGACATGAAATCTTCAAACCATCCCATTGGTCCCAGACACTGACCTTTCTGTCTCTTCATGTCAGATCGCAGAGCCTCTGGGGGAGAAAATGGAGAGACATGAGATTTCACCCCGTAGTGTTTGTGGGGATAATGTTAATATCAGTTAATGTAACTGGCCCAGACAGCAGGGTCTCTAGAGAGAGAACAGGGTGAGAGGTCATCAATTCACAGATTCCAAGGCCAGAAGGGACCATTGTGATCACCTAGTCTGACCCCTGTATAACACAAGCCCGTGGGCTTCACTACAACAATTCCTAGAGAGGATGTTTTAGAAAAAATCCAATCTTGATATACAAACTGCCAGTGCTGGAGAATCCACCTTGGGATTGGCCCTTGGGAAACTGTTGCAACAGTTAATTAATAATGGTGAGATTTCACCCTGTCATGTTTATGGGATAACTCTGCTGTCAGATAATGTAATGGGCCCAGACATTGACCTTTCTTGCTCTCCATATCAGGTCGTATGGTATTTAGGGAGAGAAAAGGGTGAGAGGTGAGATTTCACCCTGTCATGTTTATGGTGCGGTTCCTGCTATTCATGTAATTTTTCTGTAATTATGAAAGCGAGGCAGACAGACTGACAAACAGGACACACAGACAGATCTGTCTCAACATCCCTGCACTCAGCGTCCCTGCTGCCTCAGCCCCACTGACCATCACCTCTAGGGGCTGCTCTAAGTGTCTCCCCCAGGAGCCATCCCTGCTGCCTGGGCCCTGTCACACTCCTGTCTGATCTGGCTGCTCCCCTCTGTGCCCATCCCCTGAACAGCCCCAGCTCTCCCCAGCTCCTGACTGTGGGGATGAGGGCGGGAAGTGAGCAACGGGAACGGGGCACTGACCTGGGCTGGATAACGGACGGGGTTTGGCTGGCTCAATCCTAGGCCAATTCCTGACCTTGTAGGTGGTACTTGCCACGGGTCCTAATGATAAGTGGTAACAGCTCCTCTTAGATGGGGGTGGGGGAAGAATGGGGTGGAGGGGCCTTTCTTTAGCTAGATGCTCAGGTCAGTAGGATTTCAGGCTGAACAAACCTTAGTGTAGTTAAGATAACTGCTAATCTGTCCATTTTCACAGCCACTGCTTTGCCCTTCTGCAGCTCCTACTCAGCTAGATGGGTGGGGGGCAAGCACCGACTGGGGGGCAGAAT